GTCGGCGTACGCCACGCTCTTCTCGGTACGTCGCCGCCGGGCCGGGGAGGCCGGGGGCCGCCGCTCTCCCCCGCCCCGCCCCGCCCTCCCCGCCCGGGCCCTCGGGAGCGGGCGGGGCGGGGGGGCGAGGCTCGGCGCGGGGGCGCCGCGCCCCCGGAGCAGCGCGCGGGCAGGCGCTCGAGCGGCCGGCTGCCCTGGGAGGGCGAGAGCGGCGCGGAAATCCCGCGTCGTTCAGACAAAGGAAGCCTCGCGCCCGCGACGAGCGCCCTTGCAGGTCGCCGCCAGCCGCCCGAGGGCCCCCGGCGTGCCCCGCAGCTGGACGGGGTGAGGACGAGCCCCGACGGGGGCGGGACCGGCGGCGCCCTTGAGCCAGGCTTGCAGGCTTGGAGACGCCGCGTGGGGCGGAGGGGGCGCCCGTGGGGCTCCACCGGGCAGAAGGGGCGCATCGGGGTCTCCACTGAGCTGGTGCAGAGTGCCTTTTCCTGCCGCTGTGCCACTCAGACGGCCATGCACGCTGGGGTGGGGGATGCCTCCGGATGCGGGCCGGGCGGGGGGGGGGGTCCACGCAGACTGGAACCCAGGCAGCATCGGTTCCTCCAAGACCTGCTGTTCCCTTGCAACATCTGTCCAGGGCAACCTGGTGCCTTCCAGATGTGGGGCCTGCAAGAGTTGCACTTCTGGAAGGCACCAGGTTGGGAAGGGCTGGTGGAGCCCTGCAAAACCGGGAGAGAAGACGAGCTGGTTTCCACAATGGCTGGGAATGATCGGTTGCCTGGGGAACTGTGTTTCATGTGTGTCTCCTTGGAGCTCTGATGACTTCCCCTGATGAGGAAATGCATAGGCCAGCCAGCAGGGTCTTTTGAGAGCGTGTGACGCTTTTTGCTTTCTTTGTTTCAGAGTTTAACAAACACACTAAGCCTTACATACCGGAAAACAACCACACTCTGAGAACTGAGTTTACATGATTAGTAAAGCGCAGGTCTTGTGGGCTGTGTAGAGTACCACCTGGTTCCCTGTAGGCTTCAGGCAGCTTCTGACAGGTGAGCCCCGCAGGGAAAGGAAGTGATGCGCTAGGAAGCAGTTGTGCGAGTCTTGCAGAACCGTGCCCGCGTTGGCAGCTCAGTGTTCCTAATTGCTTTATGCAGCGAGATAGCTATCCGTGCTACAATTCCAGAAGGCCGGCTGGTATCATTGCCCCCACATTATGGATGAAGAGCTGAGCCACAGGTGCTTGGCTTGCTCGGAGTCCTCCAGGTGAACTTGTGGCATCACCTGGATGAGCAGATGGAAGACTTCTGCTCCTTTGAGAGGCTTTCTGTCTAACGGACGCGTCAATGGATGAGCTCAGGACTCTTCTGCTCCGTGAACAAAGTGGAGCTGATATGGATTGACTGCTCTGAATGTGGGCAGGAAGTTCCTGCTTTAAATCTTACTGCTTCGGCCATTTGGTAGCAGGAGATTGTTTCCTGGACATGCTCAGCCCAGGAAGACAGAAAACTCCATGGTGACCGGCCACATTCTAAGGGTTGTTTGTTTGTTTGGAATGCTTGTATGCCACCTCATTCACATAAGCCTCGGGGCGGCTTCCGACAAATAAATAACAATATACAAAAATATACAGAATTGGAAACATCCCGGAGATAGATAAAAGCAATAAATAATTTAACAATTAATTAAAATAACATTTAAATAAAAAGGTCTTGGCCTGGCGCCGAAAAGCAAATAGCAACGGCGCCAGGCAGACCTCTCTGGGGAGTGCATTCCACAGATGGGGCGCCACGGCAGAGAAGGCCCTCCTCTGGGCACTCGCCCTCCTAATGTCCTTCACAGAGGGTTCCCGGAGAAGGGCCTCTGCCGCCGATCTTAGAGGGCGGGAGGGCAAGTATGGACAGAGGCGCTCCTTCAGGTACCCAGGTCCCAAGCCGTTTAGGGCTTTATAGGTAAGCACCAGCACCTTGAATTGGGCCCAGACTTCAATGGGGAGCCAGTGAAGCTGACGAAGGACTGGGATTTATACAGTGGGATCAAAAAAACAGGGCATTTTATGGAATTGCTGGAGCCCAAAGGCCTCTCCCTGCTGCCAGGTGTTTCCAAACAAATCCCCTTGCCTGGACTTTATTCCAGTTAAGGACGGGAGAATTTCTCCCTTCCCATTCTTTATGGCTCCTCTGGTTCCTGGCCTTCCATTCTCACCGCATTCCAAGCTCAACTGGAAAAATTCTGGAAATTAATTTTGGGTTTACGCACATGCTCAGTTTCCAGTCTTCTCTTCTCCTCTATTACTGAAAAGAAGAGAAGGGTAGGGTAGGGTAGGGTAGGGTAGGGTAGGGTAGGGAAGGGAAGGGACGGGACGGGACGGGACGGGACGGGACGGGACGGGAAGGGAAGGGAAGGGAGGGAAGGGCCAGGCCATCCTAATGTAGCTGCACACACGTGGCTCTATCAAGATACCTGTGTGGCGTTTTTCCAAAGCACAAGTGCATGTGTGCACTGGATCATATAAACGCACATGTGTGCACTGGCCCAGGGCATGGCCTGAAGACACCTAGGGCATCCACTGTATCGAAGCTAAGCAGGCCTGGGGCTGGCCTGAGCTTGGAGGGGAGACCCCCTCAGGAGCCACATACTCCATGTACTTGAGCTCCACAATGGGAGAAAGGTGGGTTATCAGTGTAATAAATAAATAACGCAAAGAAGATAAAGCTGCCTTTTTCTCAGGCAGCCATCCTCAGTTCACGTAGATTCTGGGGAGTAGAGAGTTGAGCTCCTTGCTCTAGGCAATGGTACCCCTGAGCCCCTCGGCCTGGGCTGCTTTTGGTGTGTGTGTGGACTCTGCATGCCCATGGCAGGGCAGTCGGACTTCTGCCCGTTGCCCGTTCCTCATGATTTGCCTTGTTCTCATGTGCAGATTTTCCTTTACTGCAAACTGCCCTGGAAGCACGTTGGCAGGCAGGAGGCAGGAGATGAATCTCTTAAGTAATGAGCAGCTGCATCCGGGCCTCTTGCGGCGTTTTGTCGGTGCGCGCTGATTGTGCGGAGCGGGGGAGGCATGGGCAGCTCCCAGTGCGTGCGTTTCCCTGCGCTGCACAGTGCGGAGTATGCAGGGAGGCTGGTGGGGAGGGTTGGGGGCTGCGGCAGAAGCCCCATGGAAAGCCTGGCGGAGAAGGAGAGCAGTGGCATCGTGCCGAGGGCGGTGGCGCTAACCTGCCAGAGCTGCTTCCTCAGGCGGGACCACACGGGTTGCCTTCGGGCAGGGCTGTGGCGTCGAGAAGAGACGTTGCTGGCCGGGCCGTGGTGGAGGCCGCCCTCACAGGCTGCACCCGAGAGCGGCGGTGGCGGCGGCAGAGAGCGGAAGCGGCTCTCTCATGCTGCTCGCTGAAGCCCGGGAAGGGAGAGGAACGCTCAGGGGCACATGAAAGGAAAGGTGTCTAAACGCTTGCGAGTGCCTGAGGTGAAGGCTGCCACGGGTGCGCTTGCTTGCTCAGGAAAGACGGGGTTTGGGAACCTGCCTCCTGGTCTGCACTGCAACCCTGGCTTGTGTCAGCTCTGCTCACACAGCAAAGTAAGTGTGGTAGGTAAAAAGATGCCTGCGGTGGCCCAGCAGCTGCGCTGTGAACCTGTGGACGGTGAAGTTACCTCGAGTGGGAGGCTCGGCTGCACTCTTGCAAAGGTCCAGGTGCAGAGATGGCTTCTCCCTTCCACGCCTTTCTCCGTTTTGGCCTGTTAAGCTGACGGCTTCGCGCCTCAGAAGTGGTTGCGAACTCGCTGTGCCTGGACGCTCGAGGGCTCTAGGAAGACCGCAGTGCGGGGGGTGGGGGGCGGCCGGCTGGGGGGCCAGGTCGCTGGACGGCTCCACGCTGCAGTTCCAGAGCACAGCCAGGCATACCTCTGCGTTTGGTCAGAATCCCGGAGGGCTTCCTTCCCACAGGAGGTCATTTTAAACTGTGCTCTTGGAAGCTGCCAGGGTCTGTTGTGCTTAACTGGATTTATTTTGCATTTGTGCACGTCATTGCTGAGAATGTTGGTGAGAGGACAGGTCTCTAACAAGGAACAGAAACTGGGGCCGTCGGCTGCGCTGCCGCGGATGATGGGAGTTGCATCTGGAGGGTGCCATGTTGGGTGGGCTGGTCCAGGGGATTTGCAGGCCGGCCTCTGCCTTCGCTGGGACTGTCAAGCGAAGCGTTAGCAGTGGTGGAAAATTGTTCAGGCCCCTGCGGGTGTCCGAGGCTTTTAGACAGCGCTGGCACCACAGGGCTCGGAGGCAGCTTTCCCCGCCGGGCAGCCTTGATGAAAGCACACCTGTTGTGGCGGGGGACTTGCTGCTTCAAGCGGGCCCGCGTCTTCTCGGCGCGTGGCACGCTCTGTCGGCAGGAAAACGGCCCCGGCTTCAGCTATGCAGAGGAGACCTCTGTGCAGCCGGGGGCAGTCATGGGGGACTCGCTGGCCGCGGTTCCGTGTGGTGGTGCTTTCCCTCTCCGCGGACGCTCCGTTACGTGTGCCGGCGATTGTTCGCCCGACTGATGGGCACTAGTCAAGTCGAGGCTGAACTTCTTCAGCGGGGGGCCGGCGAGGCGAGGCGAGGCGGCGGGGGCACGTGTGGCGGGGCAAGGTGGCGGCGGGCGCGGGCAAGGTGTGGGGGTGGGCTGTGCGGCAGCTGCAGCGGTGGGCACGCGCACGGCGAGGCGGTGCCTCGCTCGCTTGGAGGTGGTTTTCTCTGAGTGAGTCCACAGCCTCTGAGGCGGGCCAGATGAGTGATGGGCATGGCGGGCCGGATCCGACCCGCGGGCCGTGGTTGGAGGACCCATGAGTTACGTTCTCTCTGTCAAGCTGCACCAGTGGAAATTAGGCTGGGAGAAGCGGCGAAGTGCAGAATCCTCAGTCAGCCGGTGGGTCTTCGGCACCTGCTTGTGTCCGATTGTATTTTTCGTGCAGCTCCTCGGACCTTCCAGTTCCCGCCTTCCAGTGTTCTTGTGGGGTGGATTAGGGTGGGGGCGGGTGGGCCAGGTCGTGTGGCACGGCAGAATG